GTGTGTGTTCTAGCGAGCAGCATCTCTCGATCTCTCGATCAATCAATCAATCAGATCACAAGCAAGCGCGACAAACGTACCAATCACATGTAGACCACAACACAAGGCAAATGCCCAGACATAAGATTACTTAAAGTTGAAGATGGCTTCAACAATCAGCTGAATGGATGCATGCACTGAGTAAAAAATCGGAGGCTTCTTTGTTCCTTCCACTCCATGAGCAAGCCGATAACAAAGTAAAAAACATGCTTGAAGCATCGCGATGCATTGTTGAGAGCCAAATAACTGCAGAAAATATTGTAAAAGAAAATTTAGCTTGATAAGCGGTTTAAATGGTCAATGTTAAAAACTCAGTGCCCGTGGCCTAAGTTGACGCTCTCTGCACTGCCAGATTCGTCATGCAAGGTTTGCAACCTCCGAGAGGTTTGTGCGTGTCCGAGTGAAGTAATCAATTTGGAAACACTGTTTTGGATATGGGTACCTCAGTGAAAATTTCAATCGATGCTGCTAGACAGTAGTTTAAAAAACATAATAACCATACATTGATACTCTCTCCTTGACCAGGTCGAGCTTTATCCAGTCGAAAACTATGGCAGTTTGTCAGTCGATGTGAAATCTGATCGTTCCATCAACGGCGTGCAAGTATTTATCAACGAGACTGCGTACGGTATTTTGCGTGTGAATGACGAGGATATCAGTACTGGGAGTCGATCGAGCAAAGTTCAATTCATTCGCATCGACGCCAAGGGAGGTCCGGGAGGGTGTGGCGGACACGGTGGTCCGGGGGGTTCTGGTGGTTGCGGTGGTGGTGGAGGTGGAGGAGGTGAATTGCTCAACTCTTCCTCATCAACGGACCCGAGAAATCTGTACGGACGTCAGTGGAGCGCGCCAGTTCGCGGGAATCAATCTGCCGCGAACTTCGCGGCCGAGGCAGCCGTTTCGTTGTTGCATGCAGGTCAGCATCAGCATGGCGACTGGACCGGGTTCGGTGCCATGCACCAATCGGATCGGAATCACCAGAGTGGCAGCGGTTATCGTGATCGGGGACTGTTCATGGACAGTACGGAACATATGCATGAAGATGAGGGTATTTTGCAATACGCATTACGCTCGATTGCTCTTGAGGACTTGGACGGTAGAAATCACAGTCAGAGACAAAGTGCATATCGAGCGGCTCGTTTTGTACAAGCGGGGGATGGTGAGTTCAATGGATGTTTTGATTGCCTGTATCAAATCGTCCTAATCAAATCACTTGTGTAGTGCGTCTTTCATGTTTAGAGGTATATTTAGGTAATAAACCTATGCGCTCAAAGTTCTGGTTACGAGCTGAGTAGCCTATAGCAAAAGGTTCCACTTCTCACTTTTATGGTCCTTCAAGTCCCATTAGGGTGGCAAGATGCACGTACTGGTAGCGATTTCTAACACAGAATGGCACATCTTTGAGGCACCTTGAAGACAGTTTTTATAAAAAATAAATTTCACCGGTAATGTTCAATCTGTGGAACAGAAAGATGTACGGAGTTGCAAGGTGAGAGAAAATACCGCGATAGTGGAACTCGTTTTTGCGAGATATCTTGCGAAAGTGTAGAGAGGAAGAAAATTCTGAAGATCGCTTTCATCTGGGCTAATGCTTTTAAATTGCATAACTCAATAAGTGAATTATCGGCATAGCTATTTATTTGAACAGAGTAAGTTTAATTTGCGTAATTAAAAGGGGTATGAACATGGTAAATCTGGTTTACTCCGCTGCATTTCTTCTCCGAACAGTTTTGAAGCGGAGCTGCGCACGAGAGGTGCGTGAAGCTATGATGATTATATGTGGTAAAATACACGTCATCGATAAGAATAAGAACCCTGCACATACTGATTAAATGGAAACAGCTTTCGTGAGCGAATGATACGACTGTGGAGTTTTTCTAATAAAAACCACAATCTCAATAAACCAACACTAAATACAAACACCAGTGGGCAAAATAAGCCATATTCATAATATATCAATTGATCTGTTTAATTTATTATGGATGTGTGGTATTCAGAATAGAAATCGAAATCGAATAAAGCGAACTCGGTATCGGACTGAAAACCCACTGAGTAGCTCAAAGTCAGGTAGATCCAAGACGAGCTGTGGATACAGTTAGTTCTATTCAGAAAATCATGGAAATATATAGGACTAGCAACAAACAATCATTGGTCGATTCTTGAATGTCCAATCGACAACGATATGATTTATCTGTTTGCCTTCTTTCACTCAGCCAATCCGGATGATGCCAATTGAGATCACATGAGTGGTCGGTTATTCCGTTTCTTGATTGGTTACCTGGAAGCTGTACCGCGGTGCGTGCGTACTCGTTACACGATCACTACAGAATGGTTTGTGGTGATCGGACCTATTCGGATAGTAGCAAAATACCACTGAACCTCTAAATTTCAGCCGTTTTTCGGTCTTTGAATCATTTATTGCCACCCCTTGCATTTATCAGCGTCATTTTCACCAACTTTATCCCTGGCTGTCATGGTGACTATTGTGCGACTACAGTGATGCCAACTTTCGTCAAATCCCCTCGCACTTCTGTACATTCCATCACATGGAAACATGCGAAGCTACTGCCAAGAATAAGACTAAAAGAACGGTAGATAACGTTTAGAAATCTGAGGATGCATCGTGCCGGCTGGAGAGTTACATCTCGAATACAAACCATCTCTTGGCCACAAGCTTCCAATGAGACAGCGTTCACCACAAAGAGACTAAGGCAAACGATCGGTCACTTAGACCGTTCTATGTTTGCAGATTCGAACCCCTTTCGTAGTTTGTGAATACATGATAGGTGCAAACAAAGACGGATTATTCATGTCTTGAGTTTGTTCGACGATATGACACAATTGACCGTGGTTCAAAAAATCAAATGATAACTGAATGATCATGTTACGTAATCGGTTTATTTTATGAATCGTGACTGTTGTTGCTACCTTGTGATCGTAAATTAATGTAGACACTCGCGAATGAATCACCGAAAAGAGTTCTTCGCTTCACTGATCTTTTCAGTTAGTAAGTCACCAAAGCTCTTGTTACAATGTTTACTGTGCCTAAGAAACAACCTGCATCCGCACCGATGCATAGACACAATGAGATACGCACTCTTTGTAAATCAATCAGAGATGAACTTCGCAGACTCGGATCTTTGTACGCTCGTGCTCAGCTTGATAACAAAGTTATTGTGAAACCTGGTAAGCCCTTGTGCAAACTTCTGGCATCATATCTCCACACCGCGGACCTTCTGCTGCGGATCTGGAGGATCTGAATTAGAGCATCATCAAAAGCGGTCCAGCACACCATGCCCCATCTAATGGGAGTGATATAAACATGACCGAGCCTGTCACCAGCTTTGCACCTGCCGAAATTTATCAAGAGTTGACCCGATTTAATCCTTACAAGTTCAGTGGCCTGGCTGGAGTTTCATTTGTTGTCCTGTTGTGCTGTGTTAACTGTGCAAACAATGTATTCGGCAGCAAAGTGTTCGCAATTACTTGAGAATAACCTCAATCACCCCAGTACAGAAGAAGGGCTCATTAAAAAGTCGTCCAATTGCCTGCATTTCAGTTATTTTGACGGTATTTAAGAGGCTTCTGATTGAAACCCTATTAACCCAGTTCAGCATTGATGATCTACGACAGTTTGCATACACTCATTTCTGAGGTACTCTAGATCTCCCTTCTTAACTCCGTTACTTCATTTTATCCTATCTTAATAAGAAACGCAAGGCTGTCCGCATATGTTTTCTAGACTATAGTGATGCCTTCAACACGATTGATAGGCAAATATTGCTAAATATATTTTCTTCAGGTGACCTTCAATCTCCTACTATTCAATTCTTGGCCAATTATTTCGCCAACCGTCAGAAGTTCACACTCAACAAGCATCTTCACTGCTACCATCCTCATCACGAGGCACACTACAAAGCCCTATTTTATCCGTTTTTCTATTTTCCGCTTACATTTCCTCTATACCTGTGAGCAATTTTTCTCTTCTTGTAAAGGATTCAAATGATATAATATTCGGACTTCCCTAACTCAACCCATTATTTCAAACCACTTTACAAGAAGACATTTTCAACATACTGTGAAGTGGTCTGAAAAGGGAAAACCCCGTGTGATCATCCCCAAATGTAACGATCCAATATTCTTCCTGTTAAAAGATCAAAAGTATGATGAGCTGCCAAATGCCTGTCCATCTTAAGCTATCTAAACCGACTAAACGGATGAACAATGGCCTGTCAGATACCTTAGTGTCATTTTTAGCCACAATCTCACCTGAGCTGATCACGTCGATAACGTTTTTCTGAAGGTCAGAAGGCTTGGGTTTTATGGTTTACACTTCACATCACTTGCTATCTCAAATCATTTCACGGGACCACAAACTCATTTCTCGATCCCTCAAGTTGCTATCGGTATGAAGTCTTACACTACGGGCATGAGTACATGGTGACACACCACCGCAAAGCCTGTAAGATTTTATCTGACTGTTCTCATTCCATATATACTGCTCTTAGTCAGTTCCTTTTTCATTTGTCCACCCGTTCCGGTTATAAACTTGTAAAAACATGTTCTGGGGCGTACAAATGTTCTGTTCTTCCGTATTGAATCCGATTTCTCACAAAACTTGAACTCGTTGCTGGAAATCTACTCAAAATGCTGATCTAAATCGATGATAAATATTATTGTATATTGTTGTTTCGATGATATTGTTGTCCGTTTCACTTTCTCTGGTCAAGCTACAGTAAAACAAGAAAACGAAAATTTTCCATATGTAGAGGCACATACTGGATACGTGTTGATCATTTGTCAGAGGCAGTCATCGTTGGCAAAATGAACTTCGGGTTATGATCATTTGCACAGCATCCAATCTTCCTTCGACCCTTTCTGATCCCTAACAGTTCATTCGGGAGTTAGTCTTTGTTGTATCTCGTATGAGTCAATAAGGACGCAAGGAGTGAATGAAGTAGTAGTTCTATTTCTATCATGTAAACGCAAACGTAGCCGGTCCGCAAGCCGGTGAGCAAACAGTGCGTCAACACGCAGACAATCAGGTACCAACCGGCCATCACGTTGGGCAGTGAACGAACCAATCAATAGGGACTGGTCGATACTGACCTCTGATTCGCTGAGGCGGATCGACCTTGTAACACAGTAAGTCTGCATGAGGTGCGCACGTGCGTGTGGTGGCGGGTCGCAACGGTCAATCACGTGATGGACACATCACTCGACTGCAGGCCACAGTGGCCTTGCCATGGCCAAGGATGAAAACTAAGGCACTAACGACGGACATATTAATAGCCAAGTCGAGATGATGCTCATCACAGCGGTTGTCAGACTGAAGATCGGCCTTCAGTAATTTCCCCTCGTAAATTTTGCTAGCCAGGTAGTGAACTGTCAAAAAGCAGATCGACTGGTTCTCAAGATCTCTGGGATGTATATGCTAGAGTCTTCAAAAATCAAACCCAAGGAAAATGCTTGAATTGCAATGAAGGTTTTGAAACAGTCTCATTGTTCGGCCCAACATAGTTGAAGTTTGAGTCAAATTTTGGATATTTCACTTGCTTATCTCTTCTTTTGATTAAAATGAAACGGAAATGAAGTCTTCCGTTGACTGTAGTGAAATTTAGCTCAACAGTCGTGTTCAAGTTGAAGTTACGCACTAGGAATTGCGATCGATAGAGCGTGCATAAATGGGATAGGCTGCACCGGACAGCTATTTCGACCTGGTTGGGTCTTATCCACTGCAGTGCGAATCCGTTGGCCCGTTGTTTTTCATTTACACTATCTAGCACACAACCCATCTTTGTGAGTCTGTTGCGGGCCACTAACTTCGCGCATCTCAGCACTAGTCTCCGGGGTTATAACTCAGTTGGAAACAATCACAACCTGACCACTTGTTTCCCGTTTGAAACGAAATCCAATCCACCATTACTCTCGTGAAGCACAGATAGTAATTTACGAAGTAATTAAAAAATCCTACGTGCAAGCATCTAAGAAAAAAAAAACACTATTTGATTCACTTTACCTACCAATAACAACCGCGAAATCGGCCGTTCGTTTTCGGGAAAATTTTTTCGAGTCATTCAGATAGTACGTAATGTAATATTTATAAACATTCACATACATATGTATGCATGGGTGTTTTACGAATATGAATGACTATATATATATATATATATATATATATCAGTATTTATTCGACAGCGATATAGAACTGTGGAGGGTTTGTCTTTATCTAATTAAATCGGAGTTAGCAGGCATGCTGTGTTGTGTGATCTGATATTTGGGAAACCACACACAGAAACACGCACGCACACACGGGTGAATCAATCCTTTTTGTCTGTCCGTCAACAGAATTGTTATCTGTCATATTTGCCCGCTTCCCTCGTGATGAACACTCACTCGCACACAAGGAAACCGTCACTGTAACCGCATCTCCCTTCCTCTCTTACTCATTCGCTTGATCCAACCGGTCCGTATACAGGTGGTACAGGCGGTGCCGGAGGACACGGTGGAAACGGAGGTAATGGAGGCGATGGCGGAAATGGCGGTGATGTGGTTGTTTTGACTTCCGATCCTCGTCTCTTTCAACTGGTCGAAGTAAGTGTCACATACACACCTCGGTTGGTTGTGAGCAAAAGGTAAACAAATCAAATCAAATTGTCCACTGTCGTTATTGTTGTTGTTGTTGTTGTTGATGGTGGTGGTGGTGTCTGAAATGGATACCGTTTGCAGAGCTCCGTTTGAGCTGAAAAAATATGGTGATCTGTTTGAAAGAAATTGATTTATCAACAGTTTGTCGTAAAACCAATTATTATTTGTTTTATGGAGTCAAACATCCAAGTATGATCCTCGAAGAATCTTTTAACCAGCATGTTTGAAGATCAGACAATCAAATAAAGACATTGTTCTGATTAAAAAAAGTATTGCAATAAAGTTGCATTCACAAAAGTTCATGTGAAGTATTTAAAAATAAACTAATCGATACTTCACAAACAGAAACAAAGTGTGACAGATAAGATATACGCTTCGAAAGTTCGATAGAAAATTTTGTGCCACGAAGGCACCGTTTGAGCACAACACCCCTCGTGGTTACCATTCGTTTGTAGAACAATGTTGTAGATAACACTCAGACTAGTAATTCGTATACGTATCGAAATCCGCGCATCCAGCCCAGAACTAGGACTCGAAATAAAATCAGAACTCAGCAACGGAATCCAACTGTAATGAGCGGAAATTCGGAATGTACAACGATATCGTGTTCAATGAAAAACAAAGGACTTCATGAGCAACCACCAAATCCGCAATCTGAAAGAACGATGCACGAGAAAACAAAACAGCTGTTTTTCGGTTTCATTCCATTGATGTACAAATATTTAGATAGTAAGGAACATTTATTCACACACTTTAGTGTTTGGCTGCCACTCTCAATGTGAGTCGAAACATTACAACCGCTATACTATCGCTCAGGGCTCGCTTTTCCGTTTTCATAGATACATGTATATGTGTCCATTAGAAATTTCGTTGAATGATTTTTTATTCAATAATCTACGGAAATTACTGATATACTTTCGAAAAGTGTAAACAAAACACCCTACTCAATCAGGAAAATCTGGGTAATACATCCACCTGACAGTCCAAATCAGCTTGCCTATGGAGAGTGAAAACCTGGGGTGAAAAATACTGGTCCAGCGAAAATCTGCTTCATGAGACATTTTATGGAACCCGGTAATTGGAACACTTTTAGATAAATGTCCGATAGAAAAGTTCAAAACAAGTAGTTCACTCTAGACGATCATTTCCGGAGGGGAGAAGGAAGGGACATACTATATCCAAATAGGGCATTAATAAATACACCCAACTTTGGTGGTAGGCAGCTTTGCTATCGCCCGGTTCTATACCACGCCTGAGATGTGTGGTTCACCACTCCAAGCTACGAGGCTTCGATTACAGATTTCTTGGACTGGAAAACAGATCCTCATAACTATAGGGTCCAACCCCGTCTGCTGTTTATCACACAAAAGTGTGTCATGAAAAAATCGTCTCGTAAAAAATACCTGTATTTGCATCTGAAAACATTGTTTCAAGACCGTGCAAATTTGGGTAACAGGTAGGATCGTGTTTTTGTGGACTGAATGCGTTGTTCTGTAAAACTTACGAGGATCGCATTGCACTTGACTTCCAAGAACGGTTGTGTCCTATTTGTATTCTTTTCCACTACTTTGTGGTTTACGTCTCTGAGTTCAAAATTAGTTTTTGCACACCCCGCAGGTGTCACAGCCTGCTGACAACACACACTCTTTCTCATACAAACAATATTCACTAATGGGAACTAGTGGCTTTAGCTCCATGGCTTCGAGTAATAAATCACAAAATCCTTAACGAAAGAGGCCTGTCACTGGAAACGAATATAGCAAACTAGCTCACCACCACGGTTGTTTAGGGGACTCAACGTTCACTGCTCGAGGCAAGGAAAACGCCAACGACAGCAAATAAAAATCACATGTACACCATAACAGTTAAAGCGACAAACTCTTATTTTCCGTGCCACAGTCAGAACTGTTTCTTTGCATCAAATGAATCGATTTAGGGAAAAAGAAAGAAGTGACATTCTGTACGCACTCTCGAGTTTGAGAAATATCACATCGGTCTACAATGGTGTCAAACTGTCAACCTATTTGATATACCAACGATTTATCAAGTCTTTCTATTTGAAACATTCAACAATTGGCACAAAAATGACATCATGGGAGTGTCTTACGTGGTGCAACTCCATGGAGCAATAGATTGACACCGACTACAGTCGATGTTTTTAAAGCAATAATTCCAACCAATGTCCCCTAAATGGTGTGTTGGGTGACAATGTGAGCAGAGAACGACGTGGTTGGTTTGGGATCTGTAGCATTCAAAACATTAGAATCAAGTCACCTCAAATTTGGTGGTAATGAGTGAAATATGATCCCTCTGGTTGTAATCTATCCACATGGGTTTAGTACTGCAGCGTCTTGATATTCATTTATCTCTTCTACCCACCATTTATTCATCAACAGTCTTACCAACTTTTCGATCCTATTTCGAAAGTAAATATGCCAGTGATTGTCCTCTTACAAACAAGCAATGATTGTAAAACGACCTCGGGATTAGTTTTGTCAGTCAGTCGTAACTGAATCAAACAATTTTGCTACCAACGAGAAATGTGTATATTTCCTCCGATCCACAAAAGCCCAGATATGTAATGCATATATGTCAACTGTTGGATTAGAATGATCCCGACTTAATCTCCGAATTGATCAATATATCTACTCCCCCCCCCCGCCTCCGGAAAGTCACACGTACATCCCCTCGGTATATGATATGTTTCTTTATTCTGAAAGTTTCTCGATATACCTATTTAAGTGAGTTCAAATTGTTTATTCCGGATCCCGGCCTGGTTTTTTCTTCTCTGTGAGGAAAGTAGTTAAACACGTTACGTGCCCGAATCAAATCGTTTTTGATTGGTTTGTACTGGCAAAGTGTTGTGCGAATCAATATTATGTGTGACCAATAGACACTGAAAATCTAGCCAGTAAAAAAATATCAAATCATCATAGCATGGGAATCTGAAATTGACGATGTTTGGCTTTTGCACAATATGAATCATTCCTTAAAAAATTAAAAATGGTAGTGCACATCTCATGTGGATGTGTGTGTTTTCAACAGATTTGAATATGGGTGTGGATGTGTGTGTGTGTGTGTGTGTGTGATAGATGCGACATGTTGGTAATTTTCTCACAGAAAGCGCACGACAACTTGCCGACGATCAAAAATGTCCGTCATCAAAACAAAATGATACGTTTTGCGTTGGGCGAGAGTGAGTAGAGGGGAAGATAGTGATGTGTCTTTCAAGAAAGCCCGTGCCTTTTAGCATTTTATCTTTTAATCTTTTTCTTTTACTTCGTTTTATTGAATATGCAATGGTACAATTTTCAGGAAGGGGAAGAGGCTAATCAAGGGTTGTCATTCAACACACAATGGGTAAAGTCAGGCGGCGGCGGTGGTGGTGGGATTCGAACACACATCCCCGAGATGATAATTTGGTGACGTTACCACCGGGCCACCTCACCCGCTATCTTAACTACTTACATAACCACCCATTCTTGTTCAATAAGTCATCGCTTTTCAGGATCGTATCTTGACCGGCAACCGAAGTCCCGAAAACGAAAGTAAGATACAGAATATTTTAAGATGAGTTCTGATGACAATGAACGTGCTTCTAATCTCGAACGCACAGGTCCGGAGCATTTATTTCACTGGTAAAGAGTATACGTTTACTTGAACATATGGAAATGCACAAGGGAAAAGATTGGTCAACCTATGGGATTTTTTAATAATGTCTGAGGCACAACCTTACTCTCAACAGAGCTTTGTAACACATTCTCAATCACGTCTTCTTTCGTGTGATCGAGCGGATTGCTTATCCATATGACGGGAGAATTGAGAAAATCAAGCGGTTTCCATGGCGACTTGTAGACAGCTTCATCTGCTTTAATAGCATTTGGTGAACCGGGTATGAGTTGTCTACTCCGTTTTTGCACCCGAATTCATGTGGAGGCGAGAACTGAATGAATAGAAATCTATGATATCCGATTACCCTCCATCGCGATTGTAAAAGGAAAACAGAGCCATTCGGATTGGACATAGAAGAGGGTTATGGTACACGGTAGTTGTTCAGTCTTCACAAATTCTGACTAATAATGGAGCCATATTTTTAACAGAGCTTTCGTAGGTGACGTTAAATTCTCAAAGCCTTCAGTTTTGTGTAAATGATTGTACAGCAGTAAAGAGTTGATAATGAATCACGTGACATCATTCGGTCCTCTAAAGATACTTGTTCTTACTCACATGAAATAGCTGTACGATGTACAAATCTCCATATCTAATTGTTCAATTAACCACGATTGCTCATGTATCCAATGTCACTGAGACCTGGTAACCATGGTGCTTGAATTTAGAGTAAAATGCATTAGTGCTGTGATTGGCTATTCCTTGAGTTTTAAAATGTAATAACAGGCATTTTGTCACCGGTCGATTTGAGATAGCAAGAGATTTCAGGATAAATTATTGCTGTTCTGCTGTAACTTGGCACAGCTCAAAATGGCTGCTTGACTGAATACCGCTTCGTTGCGTAGTGGAATACCAACGGTGAATGTTGGTTGGGTCAGTTCACATGTATATTTTGCATAGACTAAAACACCTGAATTTGCCTAAAATCTGGTTATAAAATCCGTTGACTTTAATAAACCTCTTTAATTATCCTTACGAAGAGAGGCAGATACAAAGCGGATAGTAAGTCACGAGACATCGAAGAACTAATAATTCATTTGATCAGCGGTTCTTTGTGTTTTTGGACATCAAAGGTGTCATATACGGTCAATTTCAGTCGCTTGATAACCTAATTTGAATTTAAGAAAACACTGCAGCAAACAAAGCTTTTTTCGATGACTTCTTCCTCGGGTTAATACAGTTATATTTACGTAGTTTTCAAAACTACCATACTACTGTAATGGTGTGATGTGATGAATATGATTGGATAAAAGTGATGTGGTGATATGTGGTGATAT